AGGGGAGCACGCGGGGGAGGGGGAAGGAGCGGGAGGCGGCGGCGCCGGGGACACCTGGGAGCGGGGTGCGCTCCCTCGGGTTTGAGCGCCTCACCTCAAGGGCCTGAGCGGGAGGCCCGCAAAGGAAGGGGCGGCGTGTGCTACGGGTTACAGAATGGCAGAATCCACTAGGTCGGAAGAGACCTTTACACAGAATCACACACAGAATCTTCTAGGGTGGAAGGGACCTTAAAGATCATCTTGTCCAACCGTCAACCTAACTGACAAAGATAGACACCCACACAACAAACAAGGATCATCATCACTAAACCATACCTCCCAGCACTACATCAACCCGTCGTTTGAAGACCTCCAGGGATGGTACCTCCACCAGCTCCCTGGGCAGCCCATTCCAATGCCTGAGAACCCTTTCAGTGAAAAAATTTTTCCTAATATCCAGCCTGAACCTCCCCTGGAGCAACTTGAGGCCATTTCCTCTTGTCCTGTCGCCTGTGACTTGAGAAAAGAGACCGACCCCTATCTCTCTACACCCTCCTTTCAGGTAGTTGTAGAGAGCAATAAGGTCTCCCCTCAGCCTCCTCTTCTCCAGGCTGAATAACCCCAGTTCCCTCAGCCTCTCCTCATAAGACTTATTCTCCAGACCCCTCACCATCTTTGTCGCCCTTCTCTGGACCCGCTCCAGCACCTCAATGTCTTTTTTATGGTAGGGGGCCCAAAACTGGACACAGTACTCAAGGTGAGGCCTCAACAACTTGTATAAGTTCAAAAGAAATGTCGCAGGCGGCGCACACATTTGGAGGAGCGATCCTCTGTGCGTCCAGCGCTGCAATAAAGGAGACCTGCTCAATAGTCATCCCGACTGTTGAGTCCTGATTTCGTCTTTCACGGCACCAAGATCATAGAGTCCAACCATCAACCCAACGCTGCCGAAACCACCACTAAACCATGTCCCTCAGCACCACATCTACACATCTTTTAAATACCTCCAGGGATGGCAATTGCACCACATCCCTGAGCAGCCTGCTCCAGTGTTGGATAAGCCTTTTGGTGAAAAAGAGACCTGCTCAATAGTCATCCCGACTGTTGAGTCCTGATTTCGTCTTTCACGGCACCAAGATCATAGAGTCCAACCATCAACCCAACGCTGCCGAAACCACCACTAAACCATGTCCCTCAGCACCACATCTACACATCTTTTAAATACCTCCAGGGATGGCAATTGCACCACATCCCTGAGCAGCCTGCTCCAGTGTTGGATAAGCCTTTTGGTGAAAAAAAAATTGCCTTATATCCAATCTAAACCTCCCCTGGCAAAACTGGAGGCCACTTCCTCTTGTCCTATCGCTTGTTAGTTGGGAGAACGGACCTACACCCACCTCTTTACAACCTTCTTCCAGGTAGTTGGAGAGAGCGATAAGGTCTCCCCTCAGCCTCCTTTTCTCCAGGATAAACAACCCCATTTCCCTCAGACTCTCCTCATAAAACTTGTTCTCCAGACCCCTCACCAGCTTCATTGCCCTTCTCTGGACCTGCTCCAGCACCTCAATGTCTTTTTTGTAGTGAGGGTCCCAAAACTGGACAAAGCACTCAAGGTGGGGCCTCACTTGTGCCAAGTACAGGGGGATAACCACTTCCCTACTCCTGCTGGCCACACTATTCCTGATATGGGCCAGGATGCTGTTGACCTTCTTGGCCACCTGGTCACACTGCTGGCTCATATTCAGCCAGGTGTTGACCAACACCCCCAGGTCCTTTTCTGCCAGGACACTTTCCAGTCACTCCTGCCCAAGCCTGTAGTGCTGCCTGCAGGACCCGGCACGGAGAGCAAGACTGACACCCCTACTGTCTACTCACAGCAGTGTGGCAGAGCTCCAGTCACTGCTGAGATGTCTTCTCATCCCCACCCCAGGTCCCTCTCCCTCCAGAATTCCCCCTCTCCCCCTTCCCCCGAGGGGCAGATACCAGCCTTTCCTGAAAAAACATCTGACAAAGAGAGCCTTTACCTGTTGTGCTGTGCTTGTTCTTTCTTTCCTGGCCCAAACGCCTTCAGCTGCCGACCTCTGCCACTTTCTTCCCTCTAGCAAGATAAAAGCTAGAGGCTACTTCTGTGGTTTAATAAAAGCTGCCCCTTGTCGTCCCGCCAGAGGAAATATTAGATAAGAGGAGAAAATAAAACTATTACATTCCAAGTAATTATCTAAACCTTTGCTCAGGACTACTATTCTTAAAGCTTTGCCAATCTTTTTGCTAAACTGTTTTCTGTTCTGCTGCTTGATCTGTCCCACACTCTTTCCGTCTACCTGCTTTGCCTTTCCCTGTGCTCCACTCCCTTTATCTCCACCACGTTGCTACCACTGCTAGGGCTTCCTACTCTATACCTACAGTTTATTCTCCAAATTGCCTGATGCCCTAGAAAGTTCACATCAGGGGTCAGGCTTCTCACCTGTGCAATTCCATATCCTGCCTCCTAGCTGGGGTCAGTGCTAGACCACCGCCACAGCTTAATAAATGTAACTACAAAGGGTCTTAGGGCCATAGGATCACTCAGCTCTCTGTAAAATGCAGCTAAACATTTTTGTCCTGTATCATATGACATTCAGTGGTTTGCTGCTTTCTGGCTGTCTTCTGGGTCTAGCAAAATTTCCTTTCAATTGTTCTCAGACCATTACTCCTCAGCATCTCCATGTTCTCTTTTGTTTGCAGGTTTATTACTGGAAAAGAAGGAAAAAAGATGACAGTTGCCATTTCGCCACACTTGAGCTTGAAACAAAAGTCTGAATAGAAAGAATCAGCTCCTGTTAATACTGGCATCCATCTCAGCCATTTCCAAGGTACTTCTGGTCTCTCAAAATAGCACAGTTAGAGTGAAATGAGCCAAAACAACATATATAATCAAGTTGCAATGGGGAAGTGAACAGAAACTCACAGTTCCCTCTCACTTGGCAGCCCCTCGGTACTGCTGGCACGTGGCTCAGTAGCAGGTAATAACAGGATATGACTGCTAGAATGAGGGGTAGGGCAATTTCTTACCAGTCTGGGTCACTGCTTCACTCTGAGCAGAGGTGGGAGGAAAGAGCAAAACCTTGGAGTTCCCATGGCATGCCCTGTCTAGGGGCAACAGTTCCCAAAACTTCCAAGCTGCTCACAGGATCTGATGGGTGGCTTGGTCCTTTCCAAAACAGCATTCCCTGGAGTTGTGCCACTGGAGCTCAACTGCTGTTTCCAGGGAATTGCCTGGGGCAGAAGGAGTTATATCAGCTCAGCCTGTTTCCTTGAAGTGATACACAGTCAGCCAGTCAGTAAAACCTAGATTTCTCCTCCAAAAACTGCTTACGAAAAAGAACCTGCAACGTTTTGATTGAAGTCCAGGTTTGCTCAGAGTTTGTTTGTTCTCAAAAGAATTCACCTAATTTGGTTTTCATGGAACATTTTCAGCCTTTGGAAATAAGATTTTTTATTCTCTAAATTTTTACTTCTAACTTTCCTTTCCTAGCCTTCCTCTCCATTTTCTCTCTCCATCTCACCACTTTACTAGAAAAAGTAAGGTAAGGTTAAGGGTGTTTGACAGTAAAGAAAAAACTCAAGACTTGCAATATTTTTTTTCAAAAAAGATGGAAGACATAAGCTGTGAAAAGTAGGGTTTCTCACATTTTCTTCCAGTGATCTTACCTGCTCCCTACCTCTCTCAACAAGCACAAACCTTTTTCAGTGGAAAAAAAAAAGGGGTAATAGGAAGTTTTAAATGAAAGAAATAGGGGAAAAAATTACTACCCTTCAATTATAATTTTTTAGATTCCAAACCCAAAATAACCTTACAATTTGTGTGCGCGTTAAACAATGATCGGTTTTATCCCAAAGCTACGTGTTTGTTTGCGTCTAGCTTCCTAGACAGGTGATGTGAAAAGCGTTTTGAAAATCACTTCGTTCCACACAGGATGAAACTATTTTCCAGAGAAAATCATTATCTTATCAGAAATATGTGACCAATTTGCATGACTGCTCATATCCTGAGCACATAAATAATATTACACGGAAATAATTATAAAATCTTTCAAGACCACAACAGTCAGAGCAAGTCTGCCAGAGAGGCACCACCTGCACAAGTGTGATCCAAACCAAATGAGTGATAGTTGTGGTATGGATGCCCTGTGTGATGGCTGCCCTTTACAGACACAGCTCTGGCTCATACATGTCCTGAACACACCCCGGTGAACAACATTTCATACAACAACATAGCTCATGCAGTAGTACTGGACAAAACCTTCCTATGCTGCATTACTGACCACTCAGAACTGCCTTCAGAGCAGATGAGTTTTCTTGGCCAACTTCTTTATCAAAAGCCTCACCTTCCTACAACTCAGGGCTGTTGTACATGAGAAGGCTCTCTTGCTGGCCAGGGGACATGCCAGCTATGTTTTCCTGGTCCTCTGTTGCAAAAAGGAAGCTTGAAATCTGTCTGTACTTGCCAAGAACTCTTCAAATTCTCAGATCAATCTCAAAAGTCACTGCTGGCACTTTGGAAGGAAAGGATCACACCAAGCCCTTCAGCAGGGCACTATTGCTGCTTTCCTTTATTAGCGCTTTTAGTGCTAATAACTAAGAGTCCCTTTTTGTCTGTATCTAAGGTGGAATCACACCTGGAGGATGTCTGATTCAGCATGAGATCCAAGCAACTCATCTAAATGCACACTTCAGTCTCAGAGTCAACAGTATTTTAATGTCACATCTTATCCATACCATAAACTCTAATAGGTTTCACTCAAAAATGAGGCAGAGGGGAGTATTGTTAACAAGTTCTGACCTGCAGTTTATTGAGAAGGAATTTATAAAATATATGTGCAAGAAAAGTTCTCTTAAAGTCTTGCGAAGTTGTTTGGAGAAAAGCTTCTGCAAGTTAA